CTTTTTAATAGGAAAAAATAGAAAATATCTTTCTTGAAACATCGTCCAAACAATCTAGACAAGAAAATTACTTCAGACAGACAAGATTGCTTTCGATTGGTTTTAATAGTAGAAGAAGTGACTCCTGTCCTTTTCATATTTTTTTCGTCACGGACATATTATATTTAGGTACCAAATTATTTATTAATTTTAATCAAATTAGCAGTAAAGTCTCTATGGTTTATACAAATAACCTCTAAAAATTCTTACAAATCTATATTTACCAGTGAGCCGCCGTTGCTTTATTCACGCCCTAACTAAACTGCGCGCGTCTTTCAGTAACTTTTGGTCATATATTATTACCCCAAGGGATCTTGATATAACCTTATATAAAATAGCCTATCTCTCTCCGGGCCATAAACTATCTACTCTATGTAATAATAATTATATGTAGTTTTGAAATAATTTTTTATCTACTATTTTATTATCTACTAGCTTGCTTCCCAATACAAAATTTCATCCCCATTTTCACCCCCTTAAGGGATTATTTATAGGATAAAAGTGTCCTATATCCTTCACAGAGTCTCAAATTATCTTCTCACCAAATTTCATCTAAATCGGTTTATTAGATCCAGAGATTACCTCCTACAACCTCACAACCTTTACCTGTTTATAATATTAGTATAGATTCCTTTCAGTAATATTTAAAGTTTAAATATATTTAAAAAAAAATGCAATTTACGGAAAGCGTGAGACATGTCCTTAAATTTAATTTTGCTTAGATACCAAACTGCTGTATTACTATTATTGAAGATTACATATAGTAATATTTACAGATATAAAAACTAAAAAAGCATATCTTTTACTAACTAAAAGAAACTCTCCAAAACAATAATTCCATAGAGCCCAATTTTCAAGAATTTTCTAGCAGCCATTAAAATGCTTCACTGTTTAATCATCAGATCAGCTCGATGATATTAAAATATTGTATTTTCATCCAGAAGTACTTAAAAATCACTTACATAATAATTAATTTGGTTGCAAGATCTTATAAAAAATATATTGATCTATTCTCGAGTGAAAGAAGAAACACCAAACATACGAGTACATACACTAGTTATATTTTCTTTTTTAAATGTAAAATCGAATTTACCTATCGAATATTGGGCTATTAAAGCTTCAAAGTACTACCTATTGTTCAAACAATCTCGTTTACGAGCCAAAAATGAATTTTACTAAAAATGTAGCGCTGGCTAGAACAAACTTACTAAGCGTCCCAAAGGAAAACTAAATTGCTTTTCTGTGTGCTACGACTTTTGTTATAAGGTTTTTAATGGAGATTGTAAACTTCATACATTATGTGGTAAAGTTATTATTTTATAATTGTTTGTGGTTTGGTAAAACTATTTCATTTAAGTTAACGTCCATGATATATGAACAGCTCGTTAAATTCCATTTCTGTACTTAATGCGAGTTCCAGAACATTTTTTATGTAACTTGACCATAGCGATAGCCGAGAAAGGGAAAAAATCGATTCTATCATGCCTATTAGCTTAGAATTTAGACAATTAATGCCCGATTTCACCAACATCACCTAAGTTTAAGGGATCCCCCAAGCATGGTTAGGGGGCTGTTTTAGGGGAGAGTTTCTATTTCACCGACAGTTAGGGGTCACCTAAATGTTAAAAGGCCCCCTAAATTTAGGTGCTCGAAATATGGGCTTAAAGACGATGGTAAAACGAAATTTAATTTAAGGGCTAGTTTAGGGGAATTTTAAGCTAGGGATCCCATACGTAGGTGGTAGCTTATGGGTTGTTGGTGAAATCGGGCATAAGTGTCATAATTAACATTTAACGGACTATTAAGGTAAGCAAGTGTTTCACAGTTAATTTTTAATTAGTTTTTAAACTTGATTATATGTTCACAAGCTCGCGTGGTGGCTATAATGGCATAATTTCCCGTATTATTGTTGTTTAATGATGTAAACGATTCTTTTGAAGGAGTTATTAAATTAAGCCAACTCGACGACACGTTTGGCTCAGTTTGTAGTGACCCTACTTGCTGCGCCAGCGGTCGCGGGCTCAAGTCCACTGGGGGCATTCATTTGTGTGATGAACACGAATGTTTGTGCTCCAGTCATGGGTGTTTATATTAATAATATGTATGTATTTAAAAGTTATATATATATATAAATAATGTATCAATTATCTAATATCCATAACACAAGCCTTGTAGTTTACCATAGAACTAGATGGTGTTGTGTGTTAATGTCCTGACAAAAAAAAAACTTAAGATTTATCAGTTGTTAACAACCTCGTTAATTGTAAGTGAATGAAACGATTTTGATAAGATTAAATATTTATTTTATAATTTAATGTATATTTTTGATTATGTAATTATAGTAAATATTATGTACACTTGTAAAGACATACATATCTGATTAATATTATTATTGTCTTCTAAATGAATATAAATGTTTTAATATGAGTGTTGTTAGTATAATTTTTTAAATAAATAAATAAATATTAATTTTTACGAGTTTTATAAAATATAAGGTCAAAACTATATTTTTTTAATATAAACTTCTCTAACTTCTTGCAATCGATTTTAACTGAGGGTTTTAAGTACTTAAATTCTTATTTGGCAACCAAAATCGCGGATAGAAAATGCAGACTGTTGTTGCCCACAACATTTAAACCAGGCGAGCGTTGCAAATTGTAGTCCAGTCGACCGAACGGCCAATTCGTTTTTAAACTATTAACAGTTTTGTTTCACATCACTGGATACGGAATAACATTATTTATATACATTTAAATGGATTTTCATTACAACACTAATTAAAAATATATTATTATCTTTTAAATTAGGTGCTTTTTATGTGTTGTGTGTATAACATGATATATCTAGCGTTTATTACTCGGATATCGTTTATTTTTAGTGAATTAATGAAAAAAATACTCTATTCAGTTAGAATTATACTAGCATTTTTAAATGTTTTGAAAATCAATAATTATTCCCGATTATGAAAAAATATAATATTGAACTTGATCTTTTTATGTAATGTTCCAGAATATTTTTCAGAACGATAATCTATCTCTCTGCCAAATCTCATCCAGATTCGTTCAGCCCTTCTGGGTGAAAGAGTAACAAACATGTATACATACTCACAAACTTTCATATTTATAATATTAATACAGATTAGTATGTATTATTATTATATTTTTCTTTCATTCAACCCCTGTTAATATTTTATTCCTAGGCACGGGCCTACCTTCAATGCGATTGGAAGCTTTAGTCCTCTACGCTAGCCAAGTCCGGAGGACTTCTCATGTATTTCAAAAACTAGTTAAATTAACTGAGACAAAGATTTTAAACGATGTTTTTCTTCATTCTAAGGTAGGTTGTGAAAATGAATCGTTCATGAAAATATTAGAGATGTGAGACCTGGTTCCAAGCAAGCTCGCTACCACCAGGTTATCTATAAGTCTGTGAAAGTACCTACTTGATACATATGTATGTATGCAATAACTGCCTCAGTGGTGTAGTGGCTAGCATGTACGACTGCACACCCGGAGGTCCTGATGGGAAGTTGGCAGTGTTTCACGCCTATGCCTCGGAGAGCACGTAAAGCCGTCGTTCCTGCGCATTAACTCTCACTGGTCGTGTCGAATGGTCGTCCCACCAGAGTATGAGAGTGACAGGAATAGAGAGTGCACGTTGTGTCTGCGCGTACACTTGTGCACTATAATATCTCCTGCGCAGTTGGCTAATCTCAACGAGATTGGCCGCCGTGGCCGGAATCGGTCAGGAGAACATCATCATGTACATAATATGTACATAGTAAATGTACATAAAATCTGGATGGCTGTCAATCTGACATCTAACCAATAAGTTAGTAAACTAAAATGCAACTAAAAGTTTCGTATTTTGCCTTTCAAAATTCACTTGCAGTACGTAAAACTTCCTAAAATCCAATCTTTAAAAACCACTTATATTATAAGTAAGTAAGTAAGTTATAAAACACATTTGAAATACGTTTCAAATACATTTCTCTTTTAAAATATTACATTTTAATCCCGGCGGTATGCTTTAAAATACTTGTAAGACCCTCTAGTGAATAGCTTGCACTTTCTTTTTGAAATATCTTATTCAGTATCAGTCACTATTGGAGTTTATTTATTGGTTTACTTCGCGATCGAAAATTGCAACGCTGCGAATATTTTAGAAGCTCTGCATTAGTAAAGGTATTCGTTGGACTTTAATAGTTAGCTAATGGGTTTATCTACACGAATATTATAAAGAGGGAAGATTTTTTATTTTTGTATGTTTGTAACGAATAAACTCAAAAACTACTGGAACGATTTAGATGAAATTTGGTTGAAGATAGTTTGAGACCCTGGGAAGGACATAAGTTTTTTTTTATCCCGGAAATCAACCTTTAAGGAGGTGAAAATGGGAATGAAAGTTTGTATGGGGAATCAAGCTAGGGACGAACCCAAGTGAAACAAGGGTTAGTCGCTAGTCGTAAATATATTTAATAATATCTTTTAGGCCATTTTAATTCTTGAGGCTATATTTTCTATGGGAAATATTTTTTGCTTAATAATTTTTTATGCTTATTATTATAGCTATTTGACTCATAAAACAATAAAAGGATACAAAAATATTGAAATTTAGCATAAATTTCATTTAATTTAGTTTCATCAATATTTGTTTATTTTTTTTAATAAAATTATAAAATTTTATTAAAAAAAATAAACAAATATTGATGATGAAATTTTTTTTTTTTTCGGTGGGTAGGTGCTAACTATTAACACATGTTTTTGAGTGCTCTATATTTTATAGTTTTTAAAAATCAAATATAAGAGATATATAGTGATATGTGTTAGTAAATAAACCTTAAACCTACCAGCTTTATATTCCTCTATAATATACAGACACTTGTGCACTTATAAGCAGAAATTATAAATAAAACATTAACACAACTTCAGTGTATAGTTAAAATAAAAAATAAAAACAAAATGGAGTCCATGAAGCACACAATTGCTGAGCTTAGTGAACACTTCAACTCAAAAATGGCAGAGTTTCAAAAACAACTTCAAACTTCTTCGGCATCAGCAACAAGCCCAGCTTCTACTATTGCTACCCAATTTAGCACTTTTAGAAGTTTCGTTTTGACTGCATTAGAGGGCCTCCAGAAGCAGCTTGATGTTCTATCTAGAAAACAAGATGAATTTGAAATGAGATCCCGGAAGAAAATTCTACTAATCCATGGTGTTCAAGAAAGTAAGAATGAAAAAATGTCCCAAGTTGTTACCAAAATAATTTCTGAGAATTTAGATATCCCTCTCAAAGAGGATGACATTAGTCATTGTCACCGCTTAGGGCATTCTAGATCTGATAAACCTAGAGCCGTCCTTGTTAAGTTCAAAAATTTTTTCTCTTCGGAACAAAATTTGGTATTCCAAGTCAGGCCTCAAGAATTCTGGGATAACCCTGTCAGAGTTTCTCACCAAGGAACGGCATAGCACATTCGTGGCAGCCCGACAACGTTTTGGGAGTCTCAAAGTGCTGGACAAAAGATGGATACGTGGTGGTTGTGGGGGCTGACGGTTCGCAAAGCCGCATTCTCACGGTGGGTGAACTTAACGCTATCTCGCCTTTGCCCCATGACGCGCCATTGTCGACCTCCAGCGCTCCTCCCGTTTCTTCTGGCCCCAGCAACACAGGCAAAAGTCCTCCAACATTAGGACAAAACGAGCTATCAAAAAGTAATGCAATTCACTTTGAATATTTACTTTAACTTTGCATGACTAATTTATGATCATTCACTATTACCATATGGCCTTATTTCTATATTTATTTACGTAGTTTTAAAGTATATAAATGGATATTTAAGTCTTTTATAATATGTATTTTAGTCGGTAGATTCACGCTCGTAATTTGTTTACTTTTATAACTTCGTAGTTTGTACCTATCTTTTATCAATTTTTCTTTTTAGCTGTCAAATTGTCATCTGTCATATTATGTCAATGCTTACTCTTCATGTTGTTTTTGTATCTGTGTAATTGGATTATCTCTTTTGCTTTATAATCTTTATTACTATTTTTGATTGTTGTTTTTTTTTTCTTGCTTTAACTGATTTGTGCTTAATTCTTATTTTTTGTTTTTAATTTTATTAAGTGTAGATTTTACTTTGATTCTTATTACCTTTAGTCTGTATTGTTAATTTCTTCTTACTTCTGCTGGTGGGTGAAAGGATTAAGGACTCTTATATATCTTTTTTTTTTTTTTTTAACTCTTTATTTTGTTTTATATACCATATTTATTTTTTTTATTTTTTTTTTATCTATTACTATATATTATTCTATATTATTTTATTTATTTATATATTATTCTTATTTTATCTGATTTATATATTAATTGTTTATCTAATTATTTAAATATAATGTATTTAAATGATAGTTCAGATGACGACATTAGCTTCCACTCAGCATCATCATCAAACGACAGTTACCATAGTTCTTCGATTCCACTCTCTTCCCTTCTTGATTCCACTTTCTCTCCCCTTCCTAAGAATTTTAACGTTGTGCATATTAATGCTCAAAGCATTCCTTCCCATTATCCTGACCTTGTAGCCTCTTTCACTAATAAAAATATACACGCAATCCTTATATCTGAAACATTTCTCAAACCGTGTTTACCCTCAATCTCCTTTGCCTTACCTGATTTCCACTTAGTTCGTAATGATCGCACTGGCAAGGGTGGTGGGGGAGTTGCTATTTACATTCGGAATCATATACCTTTCACTATACTTCATAAGTCCGATTCTCAATACTCTGAAACTTCTGAGCATATTTTAATTGAGGTATTATTTGGTTCTGTGAAATTGTTGCTGGGTGTTTTTTACAGCCCATCCTTATTAATCGATTATTTTGCAATCTTTGAAAATCTTTTAGAACAATTTTTACCTTCAGTTGACCACACCATAATTATGGGTGATTTTAATACATGTGTAATCAAAAATGATTCTCGAGCTAAACGTCTCCTAAACATCGTCAACAGTGCCAATCTTCAGTTGTTGAATACAAAACCTACTCACTTTTTTCCTAATTGTACCCCGTCCCTTCTAGATCTCATGTTCGTCTCGTCTCCTGATTTTGTTATATCCCATGGACAATTTCCAGCTGACTCCTTCTCATACCATGACCTAGTATATTTATCTTATAAAATCCGTCCTCCTAAATTAAAACCTACGGTCGTGATGCGGCGTAGCTTTAAAAATTTTGACAACAATAAATTTTTGAATGATCTGAATGATATTGATTGGCAATCGATTTTTGACGCTGGAAATATTAATGACAAATTGGAAATTTTTAACTCAATTTTGACTAACCTCTTTGACAAACATGCTCCTTTCCGCCCTATTAAATTAAAGCATCTTCCTGCACCATGGCTTACACAAGACATTAAAATTTTAATGGCTAAACGTAACGCAGCTAAATGTAAATATAAATTAAAACCTACAGAAGAGAATCTGCTGAAGTATAAACGACTCCGCAACCGATGCAATAAAGTATGTAGAGACGCTCAACGGAATTACATCCATACTGCAATAGATAATGGTAATCCTGCCAAAACCTGGAAGCTCTTAGAATCTTTTGGTATTGGTCGCAGATCTAGAAGCGTCTCTTACAATACACTTGATCTCGATGCTCTGAACAGATTTTTTGCCTCTGTCACTCCTATGGATAATAATGTAAGACTTCGCACACTGAGCCAACTCCATTCAACACCACGTCCTAATCATCCCATGTTCAATTTTACCCCTGTTAGCACTTTCGAGGTTAAGAAACACATCCTAGCAATTAAATCTGATGCTACTGGCAGTGATGGTATAAATCGCAAAATGATCCTCTTACTTCTTGATACCATTACTCCTGTACTTACCCATATTTTTAACTTCTCTCTTTCCTCCAATGAATTTCCCTCTACCTGGCAAACTGCTCGCATTATCCCTATTCCTAAGACGAAAAATCCCTCTTGCTTCTCCCACTACCGTCCAATTTCCATTCTCCCATTTTTGTCGAAAGCTTTAGAACGAATTGTGTTTAACCAACTCAGTGGCTATTTAGACCAGCACAACATACTTTCTCCGTACCAATCTGGTTTTCGAAAAGGTCATAGCACTGTGACAGCCTTACTCAAAGTATCCGACGATATACGATTTAATATGAGCGAGAAACTAATCAGCGTTGTAGCCCTGCTTGACTTCAGTAATGCTTTCAACACAGTTGACTTTAAACTCCTGTTAGCTGTGCTTGAATCCATTAATGTGTCAAGCGACGCCATCAGGTGGTTTAGCAGTTACCTGTACGGTCGTCAGCAGTGTATACATATTGATAATAAATCCTCCACCTACTTTCCTCTCTCAGCTGGGGTTCCACAAGGTGGTGTCCTCTCACCTCTTCTGTTTTCTATATTTATTAATACAATTTCCACACTTCTTTCATGTCCCTATCATCTTTATGCTGACGACTTACAGGTTTACGCTGCGGGTCCCTCCAGTGAACTCAATAATACTATTGAACGGTTAAACAGTGACCTACACAAAATTTATTCCTGGAGTACGACGTATGGGCTCCGTGTTAATCCTATCAAGTCACAAGTCATTATTATTGGAAGTCAAAAGTTGACCAACAAGATCGACTTTAATACCTTGTCCCCTGTTAGATTTGGCAATTCCGACCTAGCATACAGTAACGCCGTCAGGAACCTTGGACTGTTTTTCGACAACTCCTTATCCTGGACTGTGCAAATTGCAGAGGTGAGTAAAAGGATGTTCGCTGCAATAAGTTGTTTGAGGCGATGGAAAAATCTGTTGCCTATTAAAACTAAAACTGCACTAGCTCACTCACTACTGCTACCAATTTTAGATTATGCTGATTGCTGCTACCTCGACGTTTCAGAGGAACAGCTTAACAAGCTCGAACGTTTGCAGAATATGTGCATCAGATTTATATTTGGTTTACGTAAATTCGACCACATCTCCGAATACCGTAAGCAATTAAAGTGGCTTCCAATCAGATTTAGGCGCAATTTGCACGTCCTTTCCATCCTTTTCTCCATCCTTTATAATCCAACTACTCCCTCTTACTTAAAGGAACGGTTTAATTTTCTAGGTTCGGACGTGTCTGGTTTGCAACTTAGGTCTCAGAGCGACAACCGTTTGAAATTACCATCTTGCACCACCAATTACTATGGTAATTCTTTTACCGTAAAAGCTGTAAAGCTATGGAATATGCTCCCCCATGATGTTCGCCATTCAAAATCTCTAAATATTTTTAAACGTCGTCTAACTAATTATTATCTGTCTTGTTAGTTATTAAGTATATATGTATATACTATGTATTCATATGTAGTTATGTATCTTATGTATATGTATGTATGTATGTATTTATGTATCTGTGTACATATATATTATACGTGTATGTATATATTTTTGTCTTTTGTATGTATTCATGTTTATAAACGTAGTTCATCATGTCTGTATTTAGTGTTAATTGTACCGTCCCGTCTTCGATTCTTCTAATCCTTTCACCAAAGGTTGTCTGTAAGAGATTGCTCGTAGCAATAAGACCGCCTTTGCATGCCTATTTGTTATCTATTTTTTATTTTTATCTTCTGTAATCTTTTTTTTTTTTTTGTGTGTGCAATAAAGAATTTATCTATCTATCTATCTATCTATTTTACGATTTTTTCGCGGCTTTATTTGGATTTTTGGTTCTCAACGTTTCGAATGTTTTACAGCAATAATGATCAGTCCAAAAAGATATTTTTATTTAAAATATAATATTAATGTAATATTCGAGTATGTACATCCAAGAAAATATTAATATTATACAAATATTGAGGAAGACATTTACTCGTATGTCAGGATCAAGCGAAGAATATAAGAGTTGTGTAAGCCGGAACATATACCTAGACAAAATGGATGCTACGTTTTGTCTATGTGAACAAATTATCTAAGTGGGATAATGACTTTTTATCTATTCCGGAAGGAAAATAACAAAAATGTATGGATATATATTGTTAATTTAAATCGTATACTTATCTATACTAATATTTTAAAGAGGAAAGATTTTTGTTTGTTTGTACCGAATAAGCTCTGAAACTACTAAACCGATTTAGATGAAATTTGGTAAGAAGATAGTTTGAGACCTGTATGTTCTATGTACATATATTTGTTATTTCTCAGACAGAAACAGGTAGGTTTAGTAGTATTATATAAATATTTCGAAATCTTCACCCTCTAACTTCAAATAGCTATATGAATTTCATAGTAAAATTTATTAAACTTACGTTAACAGTTAGTAAAAGATAAGTTTAGTTTACATTCTGTAACTTACAAACAAACGTGTTACAAGTTTCAGTAACGAAACTTCCCAACAATAGATGCGAAGAAGCTCTTAACTATTCATATTATCCTGAAAATAGTTTTATTTAATGTTGCTTCATAGTTTTC